ATTTTATATGGTTTAACCTAGTAATTTATACTGTTGAAGCCATACTGTGCAAGTAATTTTTCCTCACATTTTTTCCACTTGTCATTGGCACCGCTTGCCCACGTAGTTAGGGATGCGTGGGCCCTTTTTGTGAGCTTGCATTAACGGCACAAATAATTGATGAGCATTAGCATCTCTGCTGGGAGCCCTGCCCTGTAAATCACTCAAATGGTCCACCCCGGTGACCAGACTTCCTGCGTCTCGACGTGAATGACAAGCCTCAGTGATTCTTCCAGGAAACTCTTCCTGTAAATGCCCCCAGCCGATGGCCTGTGTGCGGCACTCTGGCACCAGATTTCTGCCCAAATGGCAGCTTCTGGGAACGCCGCTAATAACTGTGTCCAGTTGCCAGCCTGTCGTTCCTCGTCACTCGTTATGAATCTGATCCATTACCAGTGATGAATATTGGGTTTGTGGAATTTCTGTGAAAAGGCCCTCTTTGGCTTTATGCATTTGTTGTTATTGTTTAGCGATTTCTGGACCAGGTACAGTCTACTAGCACTATTTTAAAAAGAGCTTTTTGTGTGTGTGTTTGTTTTTGTTTTTAAAGCTTACCAGCAGTAGGAAGGCTGCTTTTTAAGGCCTCAGCTTTCTCTCGGCAAACATCATCAGAACCATCAGCTCCGTTATTTTTCATCAGAGCAAAGTCCGGAGGTTTCCGCGGGCCACGTGATTCCATTATGTTATGATGCTGCCTCCAAAGTGATTGCCAGGAACAGTCATCTACGTGGGTCCGCTCTGGACCAGGCTCATTATCTGAGACTTGGTAGAGCCCTGTTCCCCACTGGTTGTCTCTTTGCTCCAGATTTAGCTGAGTTCAACCACATAGACTAGGAAGATTAAGTGCCTATCTCATAACTCCATTTGCATAAGGTCTGGGAGCTGAGGATAATAAGGTCAACTGTGATTGCCGGTAATAACATCGAGTCACTCCAGGGGCAAGGATATGAAAGGATGGACTTTATCACTATGGCCCCAAGAATAAAGCAGTGACAGGAGACCAGGATGTTTAGAGGTAATCTGTGGCCTGCAAACACATCAAAGGGTAGAGGAAATAAGGCAAAACAACACCCAGAATGGAATAATAGAATAATATGTGGTTTCTTTTATGATCAATATATGGTAAGTTACTACACAGAGGGATAGTATTATGAAACCTAACACCCTGGCTTTGAGATCAGACCAACTTGGTGTTCAGATCCTAGCCCTATTTCTTACCAGCTGTGAACAGGTCCTAAATGTTTCTCTTCTGTAAAACTGACCTAAAGACACCCACTCTGTCCAAGCCGGCTTGGCTCAGTAGATAGAGCGTCAGCCTGCAGACTGAAGGGTCCCAGGTTCGATTCCAGCCAAGGGCACATGCCTGGGTTGCAGGCTTGATCCCCAGTGGGGGGCGTGCAGGATGCAGCCAAGCAATGATTCTCTCTCATTGATGTTTCTCTCTCTCTCTCCTCCCTTTCTCTCTGAAATCAATAAAGAAATATATTTAAAAAACAAAAAGACACCCACTCTGTAGAGTGACTATAAGGATTAAAGACAACACAGGAGTATTGATCACACTTACGCTCAATATTAGTGGTTATTATTGTTAGTATTTGATGTACACAAAACTTTAAGTATTTCTCATTTCGTCTTTTAAATCTTTATTCTTGCAAGCACAACATTGTGACATTAATAGATAAACTTAAAAACCAGACTATTTCATATTCCCATATTTCTCCCAAGTCTTGGCGAATGTGTAGACATCTTTACACAGTGCATTTATGTTTTCAGCCTTTTTTTCCATTTAACATTGTACTGTAAGTTATCCCCTGTTGCAACACGATCTAATTTAGTATAAAATAGCTATTATTTCAACAAGTATGTCATAACCTAATTAACCATTCCTCTGTTTTTAGACATTTTTAATTTATTGTTTAAAGTATTACAAATAATAGTACATATGCCTTCTTTCCCCCCACCCCCATTTATTTGTTTCCAATTTGAGGGAAATTCTCTCCCTTTGTTCCTGTTTCTGTTGGCAATTGCACATGCATGATTTTACAAATATTTTGGGTTTTTCCTTAGGTCAGTGGTCGGCAAACTGCAGCTAGCGAGCCACATGCGACTCTTTGGCCCCTTGAGTGTGGCTCTTCCACAAAATACCAGATACCCTAATTAAGTTAATAACAATGTACCTACCTATATAGTTTAAGTTTTAAAAAAAATTGGCTCTCAAAAAAAATTTTTCAATTGTACTGTTGATATTTGGCTCTGTTGACTAATGAGTTTGCTGACCACTGCCTTAGGTGTACAGAAATTTTTTAACTCAAATTTGAGAACATTGTTTAAACTGATGGCTGTGGACAGTGGGGAAAGAAAAGGTAGTTTCAGCCTAATTTCTTGTGGAAGGCAAATTCAGACTCCTCCAAGGGGAGGGAGGGCATGTATGGGAGTGGGGGTGGGGGTGGGGGTGGGGATTGGTAAGGTATGTACACATATAATACCTTAATAAAAAAAATAAATAAAAAGACGCCTCCAAGAAACCCCATGTCCACTAGTGTAGTTTTGTCCTCATCTCAGCACTGGCAATCTGGTCTGAGGATGAGGGATAAACTGAGGTAGGCACTCAAGAAATGGATCATTAAAGTGGCTAGCCATGTTCACATTCTTAATTTCATTCAATTCCCACGCGCAGGCCAGATCCAGAAGACAGATATTCCTATTATTTGAGGCACAGAGAGGGTAAGGAGCATGCACCAGATCACACAGTGGCTAGGAGAGGACAGAGAAAAAGTCTTTCACAGACTATAAGTCCCCAGCTTTCCCACTGAGCTTTGAAAAAAAAATGTCCCCAGACCCAGACAGGATCACTCCCTCCCGGCTAGGAGTGGGTGGGAACGGAGAGGGGCTCCACTGGGCTGTCCCCTGCTCCTCCCATAGGCTCTATCCCCCACCCCCTAATGGGTGCTCAGGCGCAACTGGGTTCCGAGCATGCACAATGCGCTCCCTTCGGTCTCAGGGTGCTTGCTGGGCGCCCAGCTCCAGGTTTTTTGGGCGACCGGAGGTAGGTGCGGGCGGGGCGGGGCCCGGGGCGGGGCCCGGGGCGGGGCCTGTTCCTGGGTCTCCCCGGCTCTGTCTTAGTTCCCTGGGCCACTCTCCAGCGGTGCCCGCAACTGTGGCGCTGCTCCGGGACAAAGGTAGAAGGGAGATACCAGGTGCTGCCCTCTGCCACCCTATGGCCCTAGGCCTACCGACCCTCATGGACCTCAGGCCCTGGGTCCGGGGTCCGGACAGGATGGATGGTTCCAGCCATCACTACAGCCCTTCATTCACATATTTATTCAACAAATAGTTTTTGAGCACCTACTGTGTGTGCCAGGCTCTATTGTAGTGTCTGAGACACAGCAGCCGATGAGAAGAAGCAAATTTGAGGAAATCAGTGATTGACCTCATCTCCTGCTGCTCTGCGTTCCTTGTCATTACTGCCTCATCAGCCCTGCGCCTTAGGGTCTCTGCACTGGCCGTTCCTTCCGCCAGTTTATCTGCAAGGCTGAAATGTCCCCTGATCTGACTACCTCATTGAAAATGGCACTCCCTCCACCCCCAATTCTCCTTATCCTTTTCTTTTTCCCTTGTAGACCTTACCACCTTCAAGTACTCTATGCTTGTAGGTTTATTGTCCGTCGCCTGCCTCTCTTCCCCCCTCTTCCCCTAAACGCCATCAGAGGACAGGATTTTTTTTTTATTTATTTTTATTTATTTATTTTTTTTACCTATTGGGTCACCACGTATGAAGAACCAGAATAGATGACTAATGATTATTTGTTGAATGAATGAATGGATACACTGTGATAAATGTGAAGTGAGGACATGGGAAGTAGATCAGGCAGAAAGCTCATTCGGTAAGGTGGTCAGGGAAGGTCTCTGCCAGGAGTTCCTTTGTCCAATGACAAGGGGCCAGCCACAGGGTGAAAAGCTGGGCAAAGAGGGAAAGGTAAGGCCTGCGGAGGCTGGACGAGTGCTGAGTGTTTGGTGGACAGAAAGGTGCACAGGGGCAGCGGGAAGGCAGGTGTGAGAGATGAGGCGGAAAGGATGAGGCAGGGGCCCCATCAATCTTGGGAAGAAGGTTTAAGCTTCCTTCGTGGAAGGGGGTGAGCACACTGGACAGCAGGCCCCTCTGGAGAAGACAACTCCCTATTCCACAGGCTTGCGGAGCCAACTGCTTGGCATGCCTAGGTATGACATCACCCAGGGCCGGGCACATAGTAGGTGCCCAATTAAATGGTTCTGGGATGAATGTCTGCGTGCATGCGCGAGGGGACTCCTGGGCGGCCCGGCACCCGGCAGCTGAGCCCGGGCGGCCGGGAGGCGCGTCCAGGGGAGGCTGTCCCGGGGCGGGGGCGGGGCGGGGGCGGGGACGCCCCGCGGGGCAGCCCGGTGCCTGGGCGCCCGCCCCCCGCCCCGCGCGCGCGGGCCCGTCGCGGCCGGCAGGACCGGCGGGAGCCGCCCGCGGGCGGCACTGGGCATGCTCAGACGGCGTCCAGGTCGCGCCGCGAGCGAGCGAGCTTCCTCGCGCCGCCCGCCAGCGCGACCTACCTGGGCGCCCGGCGCCCCCGGATGCTGCAGGTACGGCCGTGGCGCGACCCCCGCGGGGCCGGGGCGGGGCGCGGAGCGCGGGGCGGCGGGGCCGGCGGAGCGATCGGCGCCGCCCCGCCCCCCACTGTCCCCAGGCGCGCAGCGGACGCGCGGGCGGGCGGACGGGCAGCCCCGGGGTCCCGGCGCCACGTCGGGGCGGGGAGGGGGCGCCCCCGCCGGCCGCGGGCACCTGGCTGGGCCGGGCGGGAGGGAGCAGGCCGGCCGGGTGGGGCCGGCTCCGGGCGGGCGGTGGCGGCGGCGAGCGTGGGCGTGCGCTCCGACCCGGACCGGGGCGGACACGGGCGGCGGAGCCCGCGCGGCCGGCGGCACCCACCGGAGGGCCCTGCGGCGCCGCGCGCGCCCCGGGCCCAGGTGGCCTAGGGGGCGCCCAGCCCGTGGGGAGGGAGCCAGCCCCGCTCGGCGGCCAGACCTCCTGAGCTCCCCGGGCGAATCCGCCTCTCGGCTTTCAAAGATGGCATTTCCTGGGCCTGGCATGCACTCCGGCGCCGCCGCCGATACACCCTCCCCGCTCCGCAGGCGGTACGGAATGGTGGATCCGGTACCTGCGGAGGAGAGACCGCTGCCGTGGGGGAGTGCGTGTGAGCGCGCAGCCCAGCCAGCCCCCCGGAAATTCCCGCGATCAGCCACCCAAACTTCACTGAGAAGTTGTACTTGGCCTTAAAAATTCATGGGAAGTTGAGACAACTGGACACCTGGCTTTGTCCGAGGCGCGGTGCAAAGAGCTTGCGACTTGGAAACTGGAGATCTCCCCGGTCAAGTGTGTCTCCCCCTCGGCCAGCTGGTGACCTTGAGCGAGTTGTTTAACCTCTCTGATCTTTCATTTCCTCCTCCCTGCAACCAGCCGGTGATCATGGCCCACCGCTCTGGGTTGTTGGGTGGATTGAGTAGGATATATTAGGTGGAGGTGTTTGGCACTGTGCCCAGCACAGAGCAAGTGAGCAGTTGGTTGTGATGTGAATTTAATTCGTTTAGAGACCCCCGTGGCTCCCATTTCACCAGGAAATTAGAATTAGGGAAGCATCTTCAAGGGCCTTAGTGGCAGAGGGACAGACCCTGCCTGTCTTTGTGCCCCGGAATACTTCTGCTGCTGAAGTGAAGGGCTTTGGAAAAACAATTTAGCGGATTGTAACCGGAGAGCATCTTCTTTAAAAGCAGTTTTATACATTCAGGAACTCCAGAAGTTGGCAGTTCGGCTGTACTTACAAAAGAGCTGTTTTTCGAGAGGATGCGTTCTGCAAATGTTTAAGCAGAGGATGCTTGAAAGGAAAGCCGGGTTAGGAGGATTTCTGATCTAAAAAGCTTCTAAACTCAACTTTTGTGATTATTTAGATCAGGGTTTCTTAACCTCATGGTTGGGGTTAGTGAATTCTCTGTTGTGCGGCCTGTTCTATGCATTGTAGGTTATTGAGCCGCAGCTCTGGTCTCTCCTCACTAGATTTCAGTAGTAATCCCCCTCCCTCTGTTGTGCCAACCAGAAATGCCACCAGACGTGGCCAGATGTCCCCTGGGGGGGGGGGGGGCGCAAATATCCTGTTTTATTTTTTAGAACCGCTCCTGCTTTCTGTCATTAGCTTGTTGGAGTTGTTAGAGAATTTCAGCTTATGTTTTTCCTATAATAACCAATCTTTGTATAGGCTTATAGAACTGCACAGAGTGTACCCACAATATCAACTCATTTAAAATTAAAAATTTTTCTTTATTGATTAAGGTATTACATATGTGTCCTCACAACTCCCCCATGAGACTGGTGTCATTCCCATTTCACAGATGAGGAAATCGAGGCTTTGAGCGGCAGATTGTACATCCTGTGGTGCAGTTGGGATATAACTCAGATTTCCTGAATTCCATGGGCAGGTCTTTTTGTTCTGTATCAAGATGCCCTTTATCGCACTGAGACTTTTCAGATAGATAACTTTGCTGGTGATTAAATCAAGATGTGAAGTAGATTGGAAGCGGGAAACCTTTCTGAGATTGACTAGTGGAACATTAACAGGAGGCTATTATCTGACAGAGAGTAGGTCGTTCTAGTTAAATATTCCAGTTTATAGCTAGCTCCCATAAACCCCACGTACAGTTAATGGAATACCAATTTGCGGAGAATTAGAGTAGAATAAAACGTGCCTCATACTCGGTATTGATCCTGAGTTGTCTCTGGTGATTTGCCATCTCCTAAAATGGACTCCTGTATGCAAATTAGACATTAGCCGGGGAATGAAAAAGGTCAAGTTACCCAAGTCCTGTCTGAGTGGCTGAGGCAGTCTGTTCGGCCAGCGGCCAGCATGTATTAGTCAGGCTGCTGCTCTATGGCAGAGGCAGTGCTGGGGGTAGAGGGAGAGGCAGGGTTGGCCAGTAGACCCCAGTGAATGCAGGGTGACAGGTGGGGACTTCCTTGTCAAGGAAAGGCCAGGTCAGACACAGACCAGGCCCCCAGGAACAGCTCATGGCAGGAGAGAGAACCGAAGTCAACACAAGAGTCCAGCGCAGGGTCCCACACTGCTTCACCACGCCATCTCTGAGCCCTCCTGTCTGCATTGTATCACAGAGCGGGTGTCCTGGTAGCTTTTAACTTTCTCACTCAAGTGTCAGAACCCTGGTTAGAGACACATCTTATTCCTCAAAGGAGTTGGGGTTCCAAGCTGCTAACTGGTCTCAGCAGATTGACTGTGGACTGTGAACAGGGAGATTTCACATGCACTGTTTAATGTCCCTGTCCTCCCTGTCCCCCTTCTGCAGAAAGGAAACTGTGCTAGCAAAGGCAGTGTGAGTCTAGGAGCAAGAGGGACGGATTTTGACCTTTTGGATCTTGAGTTCAGGCCCATGAGGGATTCCGTTTTCTAAGATGAACAACCCACCAGAGGGGCTCAGCTTTGGGGATTGGAGGGAACAGGAAGACATGGCACCACACCACCCCACCAACCCCCAGGGTTTGAGGACAAGTTGGGAGGGGACCAGGATTTGTGGTCCCGTGCCTATTGACCATAATCCCAGTGCTCACCTTCCTTCCACCAGAGAGTGGTCCCTGGACAGCGGGGGGCCAGTCCCTTTTCACCTCCTCTCAGGATCTGTTGCAGGGACTACAGCGCCCAAGGACCTCCGCGCTTGTCATGGCATTGACAGGCTGGCAGGGGCAGGGCAACCTGCCGGTGTTCTTCCCAAGCCCCAGCTCTTCTTACCATCTCTGTTAGCGACAGGACAGGACAGGACAGGACAGGGCCAGTCAGTGTCCACCTGCCCTGGTTTGGGACCCTGCCGTCCCGTCCGCAGCCTCTGTTCTCACAGGTGTCCTCTTTCACCTGCCTGAGGGGGGACTAACTGGGAGGGCTCAGTAGGCGCCTGGCTGACATCTGATCTGGTGAGGGGATCCCAGCCTAGAGACCCGCATCACACAGCTTCCAGCTATGCCTCCAGTGAAGCCCAGCTGTGAGCACAGATTTAACAGCAACTTCAGACATTTATTGAGTCAACTAGAGGCCCGATGCATGAGATTTGTGTAAGGGGCTCGGCCCTCCGCTGTAGTTGCGGCTGCCTTGGCCCTCGCAGGCCTGGCTTCGTCCAGAAGGCCTCCAGTCTAATTAGCATGTTACGCTTTTATTATTATAGATAGTATATGTCAGACAATAGGGCTACAGAGATGAAATTTGAACCCCAGTTTTGGAAAGATTCATGCTAGAATTGGGAAGACCGACCTGTGTGTTATCTGTCTGTCTGTCTGTCTGTCTATCTACCAATCTATCTATTTGATAACTACTTTACAAGAAGGTAAGCTCAAATGCAAAGAGACCATGCCTTCTGATGGGCATCAGGGAACATCACAGGGAGTAGCTGGCATTCAAATTCAGCCTTGAAGGTAGAAAAGATGGTACTCGGGGGCAGGCAGAAAGAATAGCAGATGCAAAGACTCAGAGGCATGAAGAGACCTTGTGTGTTTCAGGAGTGGTGACTCCTCCCCTTCTGAGCTTGCTTACTGCAGGACCCACCTCCTGCAGTTCGGGTCCTCTCCCCTCCCTGTCCAGGCCCGGCTTCCCTCCACCCAGGGCTAAGTGTCCATTCCCCTTCTTTTCCTTGGAGTGGAGTGGTGCCTCTGGCTTGGCTTCAGGATACCAGCACCTTCTGCCTGGGATGCCTCTGGTTTTGGTTATTCAATACGGATAGAGCGGTCACTGGCTGCCAGGCCCTGCTCCTGAGTGCTTTCCAAATATGAACGCATCCGTTTAATCCTCGTCTCAACTCTCCGACGGGCTGCCTCCTTGGGTAGCAGCCGCTGGTAGGTAGGTCAGGGCAGAGCTGTCTCCCCAGCCCGTGCCCCTCTGTGGGTGCTGCCGATTCTGGCCCACCTTCCTCTGGCTCCCTGCATTGTTGTGCCAGAAAACAGCCGAGTCTGAGAGTTATGAGCGAGTGCTGATGGCCACAGATTTTTATCCCTGACCCCGTGTCCTTCGGGGGACCTGCAGGGCTCCCTGGCTACAGATTGGGAACTGGAGTCTGAAAAAGGATGTTTGTGCTGCCTTTTTTTTTTTTTTTTTTTTTTTTTTTTTTTTTTTTTTTTTTTTTTTTCAAGAGGAGGGAGGCCTGGGAGGTGTTGTTTGGATACTGAGAGAGTGGAATTTTTGAGACATTTTGATGGTTTATGTGGAAAGTTAGGACAGAGGATTTGAAATTGGAATAGCCCTGGAAAATTCAGGTCCTAGGATTTGCTGTCAGGATGCACAAGCTTTTAGTAAATATTTAAGCATGGTGTAGCTTGGAGTGGATTTTCTGTGCTGAGCCAATGGGAGCCCCAAAACAGGGTAAGCAGTACCTTCTAGTCCCAGAACCTTGCAGATTCCCACAAGCCCTATTTTGCAGACGGGGTGAGAAAACTGAGGCCCAGAAAGAGGAAGTCGCTACCCCAAGGGCACATTGCTCGTAAGTAGGACAGTGAAGATTTGAACCCAACACTTGTCCCTAGACAAGTCCTTTAACTGTGACACGAGGATGATAGAACCTCTGTCCTTTAAATGGACCGTTTTAAAGGAGCTAATGACTGAAAACCCACTGAGGCAGAACCTGGCACGGAAAAGGGTCCCCTCCCTTGTGCTCAGGCCCCTGACCCCCGGGACAAGCACTTTGTTTGGTGCTGCAAGTGGCTGTGGGCGAGGCACGGCCCCTCCCAGGGCAGGGCTGCGGGTCCCAGCTCTCAGTGCAGAAGGGATGTTCCAGGCGCAGGATCAGGGGCCAGGGAGGGGCAGGGGCCGGCTGGATGCTGTGTGGACGAAAGGCACTGGTCTGACTTTGAGAGTGAGAGCGGGGAGTGAAGACCTGGCCCCCGGCCCCTACTTCCCTCAGGTGAGTCAGCCTCAGGGTAAACCTGAGGTTTTTATTTTTTTTTCATTTTTTTAATATATATTTTATTGATTTTTTACAGAGAGGAAGAGAGAGGGATAGAGAGTTAGAAACATCGATGAGAGAGAATCATCGATCAGCTGCCTCTTGCATCACCCCCACTGGGGATGTGCCCGCAACCAAGGTAGTATGTGCCCTTGACCGGAATCGAACCCG